GGGGAGGGGGAGGAGGAGGGGACCGGGGGACGCTGTGCGCACCTAGATAGCCCGCTGCTGTAGCATGCGGCGAACCACAGCAGCTCGCCTCCTACGGTACCGTCTAGACGCGCGATGGAGCGCTTCACACCACTTCAGTGATTCCTTTAACCATTGAGCGTCATCATCCAGGTCTCTTATGCGTCTTCATGTGCGGAGAATTATGCTTAAGCGCCTCGTGATTTTTATCTTGAGAGGAGCTATAGAAATGATATTTTCTTCTTCTTCTTCTTCTTAACATGAGTCCGATTCTCTCTCCCCCCACCACCCCCCGCCGCCGTCAGACATCTGGAACTTTTCCCTACTGTGTGAACGCAGCCGAAAGGACAAGTTCCGGTACAAAAGTGGTGTGTCTGAAAACACAGTTCCGGTTAAAAACCGGAATGAATTGTCCGCAAATGTTCCAGAATGTCTGTCTGAAAAGGGCTCAAGACATGCGGCCGCAGGTCAGACGAAACAACAACAAAGTCGATCATTGAGCTGCGGCCTAAAGTATCCTGGTGCCAAGAGGACATATGGACACCTTTGTGTCTGAACGTGGTGTCCATTATGGACAAGCCATGACTGGCACAGAAGTCCAATAACAAAACACCACTTGAATTCAGATCGGGGGGCTGTTCCTCCAAACCACACCTCTCCAGGTCTCACTGTCGTTGCCCACGTGAGCATTAAAGTCCCCCAGCAGAACGAGGGAGTCACCGGAAGGAGCGCTTTCCAGCACCCCCTCCAAGGTCTCCAAAAAGGGTGTGTAGTCTGAACTGTAGTTTGGTGCATAAGCACAGACCACAGTCAGAACCCATCCCCCCACACGTAGGCGAAGGGAGGCTACCCTCTTATTCATCGGGGTAAACCCCAACGTACAGGTACCAAGATGGGGGGCAACTAGTATGCCCACCCCTGCTCAGCGCCTCTCAGTGGGAGCAACTCCAGAGTGGTAGAAAGTCCAACCCCTTTCAAGGAAACTGGTTCCAGAGTCAGAGCCATGCGTTGAGATGAGTCCAACTATATCTAGTCGGAACCTCTCAACCTTGCACACCAACTCAGGCTCCTTCCCCACCAGAGAGGTGATATTCCATGTGCCAAGAGCCAGCTTCTGTAGCCGAGGATCAGACTGCCAAGGTCCCCGCCCTCGACTACCACCCGCCACACACTGCACCCGACCCCTTTGGCCCCTCCCACGAGTGGTGAGCCCATGGGAAGGGGGATCCACGTTTCCTCTTCGGGCTGTGCCCGGCCGGGCTCCATGGTTGAGCGCCCGGCCACCAGGTGCTCGCCAATGTGCCCCACCTCCAGGCCTGGCTCCAGAGGGGGGCCCCGGTGACCCACGTCCGGGCGAGGGAACACGGTTTCCATTTATATAATTCATCATAAGAGGTCTTCGGGCTGCTCTTTGTCTGATCCCTCACCTAGGACCTGTTTGCCATGGGTGACCCTACCAGAGACAGAAAACCTCAGACAACTTAGCTCCTAGGATCATTGAGACACTCAAACCCCTCCACCACGGTAAGGTGGCAGCCCAGGGAGAGTTCTCCTCCATGCTCGTTTTTAAATCTGCGCCTATCTCTTTGCCTTGGCTTCTAACACCATATATCAAATGTTGATTTTAGGTGTTTTTTTTAGTATTTTAGCTCATTATTGTGCTGCTTTTACCCCTTTTTCATTTGGGCAGTTTCATGTGTTATCTTCTCTGTAATCCATTTTAAACTGGACAAATTCTGTCATGCATACATATTGTTCAAAGCATAGCTTAATGTTAAACACTGCATTGTTTTTTAGGTGCTTTATAAAACAAGTTGGATTATATTATTATATTTAGTTGACATTTTGACCCTTATATAGATTTATTTCTCAATCAGATAAAAGAAATGTGTGCTGTGCATTTTTAATGAGCTCTACTTTTTCCTTCTTCTCACCACAAACCAATTAAATTTTCTGTTTTTGTTGCTCTACTTTTTATTTCCATTGTCTGACCTCAACAAACCTGTTACAGCCTGAAACTGCACTTTTCCAGTAATATTCTAGCTCTGGTTGAACATCCCTAATGCTTTTTTACAAAGTTTGCGACGACCCTAGCAGACCCACTTTGTATTATTTTTTCCTCCTCCTTTTTTCCAAGCATCGAGATTGGCATGTGACCTTTGGAATAATTATGTTTTTGATAACAGTGCTTGTGATGCTCTCAGACAGCTCTTATCTTTTTCACTGAAAGCAGAACATTTGGCGGGAAAAAAACCCATCTTTTTATACTGTAAAACTGGTATTTATTTACTGATCCGGGTCACGTTGACTCAGGGAATTAGGCAGAGATGAATCTTCTTTGTTAAGCTACATCAACTTGAATCCTAAAATTCAAATGAGTTTTTCTATTTTTAACTGGAACTTCAAAAATCATTACCTTTATTACTATGTAGGAATCCAGGCTCGCTACAAGCTAATGTAAATAGTCCATGTAAATGTATCCGTTTGAGGACAGGAAGTCTTCTTCAAGCCACCTGGTCAAGATTGGGACTTTTGCAATGGTTTTGAATGGTTGCTATTATTCATGGTGTGGAATTTTGCTTTAAAGACGTACTAGAAGAGATTTTTTTACAATTGGAAATTATTTGAGCCTCTATATTTATTTATGTATAGAAATATATCAAATACATAACTTGTTTGGGCTCACAATCATTTACTGCGAGTGAGGAGTGCAGAAGAACAAGGAAAAATGTGGGTGTCTGGCAAAGTTGAGCAGAGATTTATGAACCAATGAAGAAGAGGACAAGGACCGCCAGCTGTGGATCTAGTTGGAATTCATTCTTAGTCCAGATACTACCAGAACATTCTGGAGTGTTACATGTGTGCGCTGACATTCTTACGTGTTGGTTTCCTCCAGTGCAACTAGGACGTTAGTATTAGTTCAGGCTAGCATTGGCAGTTGAGCTAGCATTAGTAATAGATCGGCTTAGCGTTAGCGGTAGCTCAGACCAGCATTAGCAGTAGTACAGACTGGTGTTAGCAGTAGCTTGGGATAGCCATGTACTGCGGTTAGCATTGTTGTCGCCAACGTTGAATTGGGTCGGGAAATGCTAACTTAAGGTGGCGTGCCTATTCTTATGATGTGGTAAACCAGCGTTTTTCAGAATAAACCATTTCTCAGTGGCTATTACAACATTACTAACTTACATAATAAGTCGGAGACAGCACAGACGTTTTGGAAGGCTACATTAGACACTGCCTATGTTCCTCAACAACACGGTAAACGTGGCTTTAAATTCTAAGGACCTTTGTCAACATATGTGGACTTTGGCTCCTTGCATTTTAAATTTGTATTCTCTTCTACTTAGACCTTTTTGGTATTATTTATAGACTCTTGATACTGACTTTTGTTTGGTAAATGTCCTTTTTTTTTAGGAAATGTGACAACATATTTCTTTAATTTGATTTTTATTGTATTTTAATTTTTGTAATTCTGTTTCTGTTAATTACAGTCGATTAATCTGCAACAGCTAGATATTTTTTCTTTGAAATCACACCAAATAAAAGTTTGGGTCCCAGTTGGTTAAATTTTAGGACTACTTTAAAAGGACAAAACGGAACTAAAACATGACAGATTTGTTTACAAGCTTTGTTGTCTTCACTTTGCAAGATTAGAACTCAAAGATGTTTAAAGTGCAAATATAAAAGATACAGCATCAGATGCCATCTGCCCCTCGGGTTAAATGAAAAGTCTGATCTCAGAGGCACTCGGGAGACACCAGGACCAGAAAACTTGACCCATGACTGGAATCATCCTTATTGCTTCTATAAAGTACCGCAGAGGAGCAGGAATCTCTGCCTGATGTCAGCAAATGAGTTAAGAAGCCTGCTCAGGTGTTGAGTATACTTATTACCAGCGATACTATAATTAGAATCAAGGTTTTATTATTGTGTAGCCTTTTCCCTCACAAGACATGTCTCCTATTGTTGAGAGGTGTAATTATTCTGCTTGGCTTAACCCTTCGTAAGCCATCATTAAAGCTCTTACTCTGCCACCTCCTCTCTCCGGATTTCCTCGACTCCTGAAATTTGCTCACCTTATTCATTCAGTCGTTCACTCTGACGCTCCTCAGTGCCCTCTTTTTTTAAATTACACCTTCCCACATCAAATGTATTTTTTTCCTTTGCAGTACCCTGCACCCCTCATGTCTTTTCTACCACTTTATTTCCCCTCCGCCCGTTGTGGGCAGTCACCAAGTCTGTTATTAGTGCCAGGTTCAAGCCTGCAATGTAATCAGAGCCCAGAAATTAGCAGCCAGGCCACACTAACAGGGAGGCACAATGCTGACAAAACACTGAAGTTATTACTGGGATTGCTGCAATGCTTCGGCGTGGTCAGGAATCTGCTCCTTGGAGCTTTGGATTTTGATGAGCTTTGTTAAAGGACAGCCGTGGACACCAACCGGGGGTACTGGGAGCAGTAAGCAGGCGCAGGTGAAGCTTTATCTCTGGGACAGGAGCCATGTTGGATTGGACATAACAGAAATATGTTTTATTGTTTTGGGATCGAGTTAGAAAAACGTGATGCATCAGGACAACAGAAAAGTATTAACTTAGAAATAACAAGTTCTTTAACCAGATAGTTGGTCTGAGTTACCTCTCCAGAAATATTTAAAGGCAAATCTGCAGCCATGAAGGCTTTCTGGCACATCATAAAGCTATTTATTCACTTCACAGCTTCACATTTAACTCCGTGGATATTTTCTGAATCAAACACACTGATAAAAGCACCCAAACCCATAAATAATTCTGCTTCATATAAATACCGTATTGACTGTAAGATTTCTTAAGGAATAATTACTTTGCAGTAAAAAGTGCAGAAAAGATTTTAGATGGCACCAAGTTTGTTTGAGAGAATTATATTTCAAGCCCAAGAGAAATGTAAATCTAGACTTTTCCAAGGAATCGATGAGGCACTGCACAGTAAAGGTGGTTGCACTTACAGCACGGCCCCTTGCGTAGCACCTTGATCCGTCGCTGGGTGTTGCACTGGGCTTTCTCCAGCTCACACTCGTTGGAGTAGGTGGACGAGTCCGAGCCACAAACAGGAGCCACCAAGGATGGACACTCAGCTCTCTTGCAGACGCACTCGCCCTTGGCCGGGTCCGTTGGGTCGCGCTCGCACATAGCGCCGAAGCCGCACAGCATCCCCCTGCAGCCTGAGGACGTTAAAAGAGAAAACAGAACGTGAGATGATGTAAAATAAACAGATCAGTCTAGGCCTAATTCACGCCGAAGCACAGGTTTTTTTTAAAGATGTTTCTGTAAAATTCTTCATCCACATGAAAAACACCAACAATGGCCTGTAACTACGTCAGGCCTGGATGTTGGAACTCCAAAAATTTCACCAAAACCAGGGAAAAAGTAAAGTAACAGAAAAAGCCACAGAACTCCTCGTTTCACTGTAGACTAACATTCATGGACCCGCCCTCTTCGACTTGCAAACAGGGAAGGTTGTGTTAACTTAGCCTCCAGGAGAGAGTAGAGCATGTCTGTAGAAGCTAACCATTAGCATTAGCAACTGCAGAACATGGCGGAACACCTTAAGCTTGTGCTATTTGTGGAGATGAAATTTTGCATTTTTTACCCTAGAAAGAAGAGCAAACAAAGGCAACAGAAGAGTCTCAATGCTGTTAGCCAATCAGAAAAGAGATATTTGCATATCATAAAAAATTGTGGCTAAGGCTCCAAATCCTGCTGTTTTCTGCTCCCTCCCTCCCCCCCAAACCCCTACCCACCCCCCACTCCTCCGACTGACCTCTACTCCATGAAACAAGAGTGCCGTAACTAGTGTAAGCCCACTTCAAACACTTTCTCAGACCCACTGGACGTCAGCAGGAGTTGCTTTTATTTCTTATCTTTGGAAAGTTTTTAGGAGGTGGCAACATCTGAGCTGCTCACGTGGGGCCTTTTTGAAAAACTGGTAGCAGTCTGATGACATACACATAGTCTTGTGGACGGAGCCCTTTCACTCTCAAGATTCTTTAAGAACATCAATGACTCGCTGTCCAGGGGAGGACAGGGACACAACGATGCGGAAGCAAAGTGAGGTTAGCCAAACACTTCAGGGCCTCGCGAGTCAGGCAGCAACAATTCTTAAGACTTTGATCCCAAACCTCCCACTGAGACCTCGGCTTTGATCGAGTGTGAAACGGCAGACTGTAAACATTGTCAGAGGCAGCTGAATGCACAGGGCAAACAAGAAATGTACCCGTGTGTGTGTGTGTGTTTGTACAAAATATCAACTTAGAGAGTAATTGACCCGTACTGTGGCAGCTACAGCTGCTGTGGCTATGCGCCCACTCAGAGGGGGCTGTGGGGGCAGCCAGCTGGCGTGACGTCCTTGCCACACCACTGGCAGTGTGTGTGTGTGTGTGTGTGTGTGTGTGTGTGTGTGTGTGTGTGTGTGTGTGTGTGTGTGTGTGTGTGTGGTAGTGGTGATGGGGTGTTTAGAAGTGATAGGAAACTCCTGAAGGTAGCCACCTTGATAGGAAATCTATGACCTAAAGCATCAAAGAAACATACTCATGGATAAAGAAGCAGCCACTGTTACTGCTGTTAGTATCACACACACACACACACACACACACACACACACACACACACACACACACACACACACACACACACACACACACACCACACATACACACAATTTCTTATCATTGGCTCACAGGTTAGAACTAAAAGGAAGTCAGCATGTCCGCCTGGGCTCACTGGTAGGTGGCCTTTCCGATGCAGGAAGGACAGGCAGACAGTCTGACACACACACACACACACACACACACACACACACACACACACACACACACACACACACACACACACACACACACACACACACACACACACACACACACACACACACACACACACACACACATGCTGTGTGTAGCTGAAACAACCGGTCCAGCATCTGCCCGAAGTGTCTCTTTCTTTCCTTTTCCTCACATCGAAGCACATTGTGTGTGTGTGTGTGTGTGTGTGTGTGTGTGTGTGTGTGTGTGTGTGTGTGTGTGTGTGTGTGTGTGTGTGTGTGTGTGTGTGTGTGTGTGTGTGTGTGTGTGTGTGTGCGTGCGTGTGTGTGAGTGTGAGTGCTCACACACAGAGTGACAAGCAAGGAGGCTGTTTTTGACTTGCCTACTGTTCCCTGTTGGTGAGCAGCTGACAGCTACCTGAGCTTTCTCTCTTCTACTGTGAGAGATAGAGAGAGAGAGAGAGAGAGAGAGAGAGAGAGAGAAAGAGAGAGAGACTGACAGATAGAGACAGAGAGAGAATGTGTGAGTGTGTTTTTGTGCAAAGCTACCCATGAATGCATTTGTATTCCTGACAATGTGTTTGTCCATGTGTGTGTTTGTGTGTCTGAGAGCATTAGCTTTCTCTTCTTCACACACACACACACACACACACACACACACACACACACACACACACACACACACACACACACACACACACACACACACACACACACACACACACACACACACACACACACATGCCATCAGATCCTAGAATGAGGTCCTTGTCATCACTGCCCCCTGCTCCCCAGTGCTCCCCAGTGCTCCCCCAGCACGCTGTGTGCTGCTTCTGTGTTTATGCACAGGAGTCAGCATGTGGCTCAGAAATGAAGCCAAGCGAAAAGTGACAAGAGGTGAAATTAAATCAAACTGTGTCAGATGTAGACAGGAAAGAGAGAGGGTGTCTGATAGCATGACAAGAAAAAAGGGAATAATTCAGGTTGCAAAACAAAATTCTGGATATTATCTAAATATTCTGCTTGAACACAAATACTAATAACATCATTATGGGAATTTCTAACAAAAGAAGAATGATTGCCACTGTAAGCAGATTCCTTCTGCTATTTTCCATAAGAAAATCTCCCACTAGCCTGAAGCTTAGCTGGCTGACAAAAGACTGACACTCAATCTGAGGCTCTCTGTCAAAAGTGAACGCATCATGTGCAGAGTCTGGACCGAATACACCGACTGCAGGCAAAACTTTTTCTCCTCCCTTGGCTCCTGAGTACCAACATGTTCATTTGACACTTCCCATTTCTTTGGACCAGATGCATTAAAAAAATAAAAATTTGAAAACAGCCTTGGTACACAAACAGGTCTGCAACAACAAAAACTTTGTAATCAATAAATTCCAGCAGCAACTTCCTTGACCCGGTTTGACTGGCAGGTGATCACCGGGGGTGCAGGAACAATAATAGAAAGAGACGAGGATCTGTTTCTCACGTGCAGAAGACAGATATGCTGTTGCTTTACAAAAAACACAAATGAGGTTAACACAAAAACTTTCTCACTGGCTGTAAAAGCTTTCAAATGTTGGGTATCGCTTTGGGCAGAGATTCATCATTTCACACTCTGAAACTAAGATGGTATTTTCTCCGTGACACACGTATTAGCTAACAGGAAAATCAAATTAAAGGGAATAATACATTTCATGGGAATAATGGGAGTTTAGAAGATCCAGTTTCTAAGTTTCCTATAGAAAAAAAAATGTATTTACAAACAAGCAAACTGTTGCTTATTGACCAGAAAGAAAAAAGAAATGAAAAGTACCCAGATGAAGCATCAAGATTAGTACCTTCATCAGAAATCTGTCATATCCAGTCCTATTAGGGATGTACGTAGTTAACCAGTTACGTTATAACCGGGTAAACTAGTTTAGCCCAGTTAACTGCATCGAGTCCTTCTTCTGCACTAGGTGCAATAAATTTTGCGCCACTAGAGGGTGAAAGAGCGCCGCTATCAAATATGTTTACAGGGCGACCGCAGAAGAAGAAATGAGCTCGACAAATGTCCAAACAAATGTGCTCAAACACAAAGCGCTTAGCAATGAGCCAGTGTTGGAGACGTTTATTCTTACTGGAAAATCTGCTATTTTCCATTGTAAGATGAAAACTTTACATCAATTGTCTCAGCGGGAAAGTTCAGCAGACATGTTTGTTTACATTTTTGCTGCCGCGTGCCTGCAAAGTGTGAGCAAAGGGAGGGAGGGGCGACGCGAGGCTCCGTTCAGCGTCTCTACGGGCTCCAGTAGCAGCGACAGCCAGCTGGTTTGATCCGCTCTGAAAGGTGTTGATCAGAATTTGCAGATCGCATTTTCTAAATGGAGAACGGGCGTGTGCAGCCATCATGAGTCACTCAGTACAGCGTCAGTGCGGAAACTCACCTAGGAACTTTAATCTGTTGCACTGATATCACGCAAATAAAACTTCATTATTTAACAAAAAAATAAAAACCAAAACGGTACACAAGTGGACCGAACCGAACAGGCCGAACCGAAACTGTTCAAAGCTCCCCCGTGAACAGTTACACCCCTAATATAAACACGAGTATAATGTATGGCAACACAAACTTAAGTGTGAGATATAAGTCTTCACACAGAGCAAAACTATTTTTACTCCACTGGCTCTAATGCGCTTGACTTTCTAAGAGTGTTCTGTGTGGATTTTCAGTTCATAAAAACGAGCCTGAAGAGATGATTTTTTTCCACATCTTTCCTGATCCAATTTTCTGATCCTTTTTATAACTTGTGCTCAAACAAGAGTGCTGCAGGGTTTCACTTATTCTTATGGCAGCCTGTTCGTTTGTTTTACATTGTTTTTGGGCCAAGTTAACTAGAATTACGGCTCAGCTTTCTCATGACTTGAATGAGAAAAAATGTGGGGATTTTATCAGGCGGTGTAATTTCGTTTTCTTAGATGATGTGTGTAAATCTCGCCAAGCGTTCGGATCTAAAATATCTACAGTCACAACAAACAGCGACTGAATCCCACTGAGTTTTTCTGTCGCAGCTGCTCGTTGTTATAATTTTACATTGTTCTCTACCAGTCAAATATTTAAAAGCACAATGTCTAAACAAGAAAACTAAACAAACCGGACTCAAATCTGATTTAAATGGGCTCAGTAGAAGTCTAAGTCATCTCATTGCAGGTCCAGAGATGTTTCTATTATAAAATGATCCTCCCACCAGAAGGCTGTTAGGGTCGTTGTTGTCCTGGTCCATGTGCAAGGCCTTTGGACCACATTCCTGGAGATGTATGTGATGCTGTGAAACAGGAATCTCAGACCCCTCCTCCGGTGGCTTGTTTTACTCGTCTGTCAAATCGTGAGACACCTGGGTGAATGAGAATCTACACCCACGTATCCTATGTCAAACCTTCAGTTTTCTCAGCCAAACAAATGGACATTCCTGATGAGTCCTGGTAATTTCCAACAGAGGTTACTTTAAACCTTTATTTACCAGGTAACATGTTTGAGAACATGTCCTCACTTACAAACGTGACCTGGCCGAGATGTCCTGGAGGCAGTGCCACAACAAACAACAATTACATATCTCTCCTGTCTTAGCTTCCCTACATTGGCTGCCAGTTAAATTGAGAATAGATTTTAAGATCCTCCTTCTCACATATAAAGCTCTTAATAATCAAGCTCCATCATACATCAGTGATCTGATTGTTCCATACGTTCCTAACCGAGCACTTCGCTCTCAGACTGCAGGTTTACTGGTGGTTCCAAGAATATCTAAAATTAGGATGGGAGGCAGATCTTTTAGCTATCAGGCTCCTCTCTTGTGGAACAGCTCCCAGCTTTAGTCCGTGAGACAGACACTTTGTCTACTTTTAAGACTAGGCGTAAAACATTTTTATTTGATAGGGGCTATGGTTAAAATCTAATGTTAGGTCAGACCTGGACAAGTGGGGGAGTAAAGGGAGGTGGAGAATACAGTCGGTAAAGACGGCTCTCACTTGCCCTGCCTCCAACATGCCTCCATCTAAAAGGCTAGGTTATCCAGAGTTATCTCTGTAGTTATGCTGCTATAGGCATAGACTGCTGGAGGACATACTGACCACTTTCCACATTCGACTACTTCTTCAACAATCTGCTCTTTAACTGTATTACTTTCTGCTATTTCAGCTGTTAATTTTATTTTTTCTCTAAGTGTTTTTCTTCCCAGAAGAAGCTACAATGATGTTCTGCTGAGCTGTGGTGCCCTCATGGAGGGGGCCATCGGCTTGAACACTGTTGCTAACCACTTAAACTTTCTCCCTCTCCTGATAACTTTTTGCTTTTTTTGACATTGAATGTGCTACTACTAGTTTGCCCATTTAGTTATAGATTCACTAGGATAAATACAATAAAATTTATCTCTCACCAAATAGAATATTTACTGAGAAAATCACAATGTAACCATAGAAACATTACTTGGTATATATGTTGTGTGTGTGTATGTGTGTGGGTGGGCTGGTGTTGGTGTATGCGTGTGCCTGCTCTGTCTTCTTGATCCCCAGTGAGTCGTGGTGGATGGCTGCTTATACTGAGCCAGGATCCTCTGGAGGTTTCTTCCTGTTAAAAGAGAGTTTTCCTCTCCACTGTCGCTAAATGATTGCTTAGTATGAGGATTGCTGTAAAGACGCTGGCACTAGTCAGTGACTTGATGCAACCTGCTGGGTTCCTTATATAGGAACCTTTTTATCTGATTGGTTTAATGAACTGACCTGTATTGGAATGTTTACTGTGTGAAGTGCCTTGGGACGACTCTTGTGGTGATTTGGCGCTATATAAATAAACCTGAATTGAATTGAACACACTTGGACACCCCAATTTATGATTGAAGCTGACCCAACGTGCCTCTGAGCAGACTGTGGTGCTCTTAACACACCACACATGGTAGGAATATCTGATAAGATTATCTTTGGAGTCATTACATTAATCAAGTGCATGTTTAAGATTGTCTAAAGAGAGGGATCGGGCCTAAAATCAGCATGATTATCCTGCAATGTGAACCGGGTCTACCGAGCTTTCAAGGATCAAAGGTTTTGAGTTTTTAGCCAGAACTAAGTTCTCCATGTAAACCATTCTTCCTTTTAAGAGTTGATGTGGTTTTGTTGTCCTGGTTCACAGACGAGATGTTTTGGTCATTTCATTTGCATGAAGGTGTGAATTGGTGTGGGACTAGTTGGGTACATGATTCAAGAATACGTACAGATGATTTAAGACTGAATGCTTCAAAGATGACCAAAAGATTTGATGTAATTCAAAATAAAGAAATAATAAAAAAAAACAGTAAGCCATTTTCAAATGTTCATAAACGAGTGAGCTTTAGGAACCAATTTTTTAAAGCCCACCTAAGATAATCCTATTTTCTGTGTAGAAGTAAGCCATACAGTTCTTTTACATTTACGTGTGCTCACTGATGTGTCTGTGGTAATCTCCCTCCAACGCTGCAGCATTAAGCGCTTTACTTCTGCCACCTTCATGGTTTTTTTCACCTCCCTACTGAAAGTAGAAGAAGAAATCCCTTTGGGAAGTAAAAGACAGCATGTCCAGTTTGTGCCTGTCAAGGCACACGTCTTTTCCAGGTAACGCGCCGTCCTGTGTTTGGACGACTCATCTATTAAATATGATGGGGTGTCAGAGCCTCGAGGATCCTCTCAGAGTCTCACCTGGTTATGAAAGGAAAGGGATAGTGCACCTGTGATTAAAGCCCCTGTGAAAGAATGTCACGGTTTTCGAGCTGAAAGGAAGCGCGGCGTGGTTCTCTTGAGGCAATTTTCTACCTACTATTGGCAGCTTTGGTGCTTCAGGATTCAGGCTGGGTTTGTATTCTGTTCCTGTGGATCGAAGTTCACATAAACCATTTTTACTGGTTCAACCCATTTTTTAACGTCGCAATACGAATAAAAATGTTTTTGCCTGTGTCCATTTGTTTTATTGTTAAATGTTTTTAGAAAGATGGGAATTTAGACAAAATTGACATATATATATATATATATATATATATAACAGATAACTTTTGGAAGCAAATGACTTGTATTTGTGTAGCACCGTCTAGGCTTCTAAACCCCCCCATGGTGAGGGTGCTGGCGCCCAAGCTGCCCTGGGGTAAACTGACGGTAGAGGGGCTGCTGTACATTAGCGCCACTGGTCCCGTCCGACCACCAGCAGCAGGCAAAGCAGGTCAAGTGTCTTGCCCAAGGACGCAATGAATGCAACAGGCGAGCGGGACTCAATCCCGCAACACTTAACTCCTCTGCCACCGTTGTCAACCTAATTCAAGATGGCAGCCACTGGCAGCTAGGGCCTGCACGACTTTATTTTTTTTAAAGTCGACAGTCAAGTAATGAAAGTCGAGTCGACTTCGACTAGTCGTTGATGACGTCATACACCGGAAGCGGCGGTTGGTGACCGGAGAGCGCAGGAGCTCCCTTCTTTTGGAGACAAACGCTTGGTCACACCGCGTCATTTTTGATGCTTGGGTGTGAGAATGTGTAGCATAAACGCAGTAGACAGGACAGCTTTAGAACACTTAGGCTTTATTGGCAACCCTTATTGCAAATGCTGACAACAATCAGCTTCAAAAACATTCTTGAATGGAGAGCATAAAAGAGAACAAGCAGGCTTATTGCTGCTAATCAGTAACAATAATCATGTAACTCTTGTGTAACATGTAAAATTAAGTGCGCAAAATAAAACTCCTAAAAAAAAGTCCACAAAAAAACTTATGTTTACTCGCTGCCGACAGTCTGTTTGGTCATTTGTTTTTGATCCTGGCTTGCGTGCAAGAAAATTAGTGCATCCACATGATCAGGATGAAGGCTCGCCCGCTGTCGGGTGATCGTATTCCCGGCAAGTGAAAAAATCCTCTTGCTCGGGGTGCTGGTAGCTGGAACAGCCAAATAGCTTTTGCTTAGCTTTGCCAAACGGGGAAATCTATCCTGGTTGCGGGACCACCACTGGAGCGGATTATCCATGGTGGGAATGTGTGGTGTTGAAAAATAATCCCGGATTTCTTCAGCTGCAGTGGAGCAGTGAGTTGATCTCCTGTCACTTTGATAATGCGGTCCAAAAAGTTGCACAAAGTCTTCCTCGAGTCTGGCTTTTTTCCCAGTCATCGGCTCAATTTGGGCATCAGTTGTGTCCTCGGCTTGAGCTTCACCTAAAATGATAAGTTTAAAATTACCTATGCTGCATGCATCTGAATAATATGAGCGTATTATTATAGTTCAGTGGACCTACCTGTTGCTGCAGGCGGCTCTCCGTTTTGTAGCAGGACGTCCAGGTGTCTCTGGGCTTCCTCTCTTTTATTCTGCGGGATGAACTGAAGATGTTTGAAGCGAGGGTCTAACATGCAGGCAACTATCGGGATAGATTCTGTCAGATCCTCAGACCTCAGTTTGAACCGCGTTTCCAGCTGTTGTCGGACCGTGCTTTTGAAAGTGCGTACAGCTGCCAGGTCAGACTCTTCAACACACAGAGTGCTGCTGATCATGTTGAAAATCACTGGATAAATGAAAGAGAGCCCAACGTGCAACTCGCCACACATTATTTCAGTAGCCTTTGCCAGAGGTTGCAGCACAGGAATCAGCTGTTCCACAAGCTCCCACTGGGAGGCTCTCATGGCAAGTGACTTCTGGACGCTTGACTTTGTGACCGCTTCATCTGCAAGTACGGACTGGACCGCGATCCTCTGCTCGAACAGCCGCTGGAGCATGACAAAAGTGGAATTCCACCGAACAGGACAGTCAGTCTGGAGTTTGTTGGATTTTACGCCAAGCTGTTCCTGACGCTGCTTCAGAGCGCAAGATGCAAGTGAAGAGTGGCGAAAGTGGCTGACAACTCTTCTTGCTGCGTCGACAGCTTTCACCACCTCAGGTAAAACTAATCCAGCTTTAACTGCCAGCTGCAGTGTGTGTCCGGTGCAGCCCAGATCATGTGGGAACATCTCGCATAGCTCCATGGCTAGATTCATGTTACTGGCATTATCGTGGACTGTGCAAAACACCTGTATTCCCCATTCACTGATTATTTTAGACAGCCGATCAGCAATGTTTACAGCCGTGTGCCTCTCTGGCATCATGGCGGTACAGAGCACCCGGGCCTTCAGCTGCCATGAATCGGTAACGTAGTGAGCAGTTACCGTAATATACGGCTCCATGGTGGAAGATGTCCACAGATCAGTTGTTAGCGAAACACTCTGGCCTTTCATTTCTTCACCAATATTTTCACGCAGGTTATCATACTGGTGTGCAATGGCGTTCCACAGTGTGTTGTAGGATGGGACGTTGTAACCTGGTTCGAAAAAATTCAGTAGGTCTCTGAAGCCGTCTCCGTGGACTGCAGCTAATGGTCTGATGTCTTTGACAATAAAATCCACCAACAAATTGGTGATTTGCTGCCGTCGTCTTTCTGTTACAGCTGGACGTTTGGTGAAAGCGCTGATTGACTGCTGAACATGCGACTTGGGTTGTCCCTCCTAAGCTAGCTTTAGCGGATGCCTTTTCAAATGCATGTGCATAGCACTTGTATTTTTGTTGTATTTTAGAACGGACTTGCAGAATTTACATGTTACAGAATTAGAAGATTCATCTTTAGTGAAGTATTTCCACACAACTGAAACATTTCTGCTAGTTTGCTGCAATGACCCACCCGGCTTGTCACCTGCTGTGTTTTCCGCAGACTCCATTTTGTCATTATCACGTGACAGCGACTAGTCGCTGAAAGGCATAAAAAGTCACTACAGAGCAGTGAAGTCGACTAGTCGACTAGTTCATACAACCCCTACTGGCAGCTAGAGCTACACCTCCATCAGTTCTAAAAACATTGAGCTGAAATGGGACAATGCATTCAATGCTACCCGGTCAGGCGAGAGTAAGATTGCACTTATCGTTGTTTTAAAGGTTGGTTTTTATGTTACCGAGGGGGACTTGTTACAATCACTGGCCTTCAGGCATGCAAAGAAAATCTTTCTTTGACAGTCTCGCTACATCAGAGTAGACTTACATCAGGAGAAGCGTGAGATTCTCCTGTTGCATAGTTAACCTTATTGTGGCATGATAGACAGCTTACGCCAGGTCTTTTACTTAACAAGCAGATTTGAATCTTTGCATTATGTATGACAAATAGTTTATTAGTGAAAAAAACATTTCATATTTTCTTTTGTTTTTGCTCTAAAAACCAGTTTAAAGTCTGCTTTTGTCTTGAAAAACATTCATCATTTTCACATTTACTTTAAACAAAGTGTGAAAAACTAGTTTTGCTTCTCTGGCACGCACGAGTGCATCCATGCTCAATAGTTACATCAGTTCGGTTGCTTTGACAAACTAACAGTGACCGCTTCACAAAAGGGAACCACGTTCTCTGCAGACGGACCGACTACCTGCTTGTTTTCTAATTATATCACAGCAGATCAGTTTGATTCAAATGGGGACGAGAGAAGGGAGGGAGAGAGAGAGGTGGGAGGTGTTCATGAATAATTAACATTTCTGAACTTAACATTGGTGACAACAAGAATAGCGAGTGAGTTACCGGGGTGAAACCAGTTCATATAAAGCCACGCAGATTAAAACTGCTCGCTGTAGCTTCAGCATGGACTAAATACCTGCTGGCTGTCAGGGAACGAGGAGGGGAAAGATGATGGAGGGAGATTCGGCTCAGTGGCATCAAAGTGGCATCACCTTAATGCTGAATGTGCTTAAATTCATTATGTTGAAACACTCCTTGGGGACATCTGCTGCTCTCTTCTTAATAAAGGGTCCCTTTCTTTGCAGCAGACACTAAGTAATACAGATGTGCTCCCGAGCTGGGCGGCTTTTAACAGTCCCCTCCACTCCCTCCGTTTCTCATTTCTTCTCCCCGTGAGAGGGCTTTAGCCTCTCCGTCAGTGTAGCTCCACTAGAAGACCTTCGTGGTGAGGGGACAGGTTGCCATGGCGACTGCCAGGGATGCAATCGGCACAGAGCAGCGACTCCCATCGGGCAGGGATTGGAAACTTTCCGCCGTGCTCACAGGTGGCTTGTGTTTTCCCACATGAGCGTGCTTCTGCCGTTTGAATTTAAATCCTGAACATTAAACTCCTGGTTGGGTTTCACCTAAACTCAATACTTTTCCTCGATTAGAAAACCTAATTGTTTCAACGTGTGTGGCCCTGGAGTTATATGTTTTATGTGCAGGTCTAAAGGACGGCGGTAGATCTGTTCAGTATCGATTTAGGGCTCCTGCCCATTGCAATGATTATCTAAAGAAAAGAGCACATATGTGAAATACTGTGTCAGTGCCGAGCGACGAAAGGCAAGAAACACCCCGGTGACCTGTAGCCATACCTGGTAAAATATCCGAGAGGGAAAAATCAACACTACACGGCTTCTATTGATCTCTGGTTAGTGGTCCTCGGGGGACAAATGCAGTCAATTATCGATCTGGGTGCAATCATAAAACACCCAGGGTGAAATAAAGAAAACGTCTGCTCACAAAGGACCGCCCAACCTCGCCTGCTCCAAATGAGAAATTGCTTCTTTGAACAAGTTAAATACAAAGCAAAAAAAGAGTAACAGAGAGCGAAAGAATAGAGACTCTTATAGGTGAGAGAAGAAAACAAATTTTCTCAGGTCCTGGTGTTTTAACCACGCTGTTCTTATCAAGGAAGGAGCAGAGAGAACAAACGTGGAAAAAGAAATGCCGTTCTACGGTAAGTTTTTGTGTGAGCGGTGTTTAAGTGTAAAAAGTTGTTCCAGTATTTCCCTCTCCATCTCACATAGAGGAACCAATCAATTCCCTTCTCTTTCTGTCTTTCCAGTGCAACATCTGCATTAGGGAGCTGGTGGAGCGCTTTGTGGCATGGTGTGGAAACAATCATCTGACCTTGAACGTGAACAAAACAAAGCAGATGATTTTAGACTTCAGAAGAAACAGGGTGGAGTCAAACACAGTTTCCATCATGGGGGAAGAAGTGGAGGTGGTTGAGGAATACAAATACCTTGGAGTTCACCTACACAACAGACTGGAATGGATAAAGACCAGTGAAGCCGTTTACAAGAAGGGGCACAGCAGACTGCACTTCTTGAGGATGCTTAGGTTCTTCAATGTCTGTAGCAAGATGCCGCAGATCTTCTACAAGTCTGTTGTTGAGAGTGTAATCTCTTCAGCCATCGTCTGTTGGGGTAGCAGCATCAGAAGCAGGGACCTGAAAAGGCTCAACAGCCTAATAAAAAAGGCTGGTTCTGTTCTGGGGACGACTGTGGAACCGCTGGATGAGATAATGCAAAGAAGGATTCTCCAGAGAATCAAGAAAATGATGGACAACCCTGAGCATTCTCTTCACAAGACTGTCCGACAACAGAAGAGTGTCTTTAGTCAGAGGCTTCTTCAGTTTCACTGCAACACTGACCGCTACTGGAGATCCTTCCTGCCAACAGCCATTGTAATATACAACAACTCTTTGACGACTTGATTATTATTATTATTATTCTGAGCTACTACAGCAATCAATTTCCCTCTGGGATTAATAAAGTCTTTTTGAACTGAATTGAATTGAATTGAATTAGCTGAGCACCTGGACTCTGACAAACGTATTCGCCAAGATCCACAACTCAAACCTACAGGAACACTGTGAAAAAGGGAGAGCTTAAGCTTGAGGCAGAGTGAATGAAGATGGGCAGATGAGGGGAGGCAGGAGATGGGGAGAAAATGCTTTATTGGATGAAAAGGTGTATGAGACGGAGATACAGAGGTGAGGGCTGGTTGGACTGGAACATGAGAGGCAGAGAAAACATATCCATATTTCAAACCATCCCACTTTCTATGCAAGCTTCTGATGCTGTAAATAAAAGATACTCTCACCAGCTGCGAATATGCTGAAGACTGCCATACGATTGGTTAACCAAAGCATGACTTAGTCTGAGCAAAGGATAAAAACAGATGCTGTTATGTCTATCTGTGAAAAATCTATTTGTTAAAATCCAAACAAAAACAAAGAAGAGTTGTTGGTTTAAAGCTAATCAACCAACCTGGGTATCCTCCTACTTCCTCTGCTGTTATTGTTACTCGTCCCCCAAAATGCTGCTGCTGAAGACGTCGTCACCGCTATTTCTAGCCTCCCTTGGCTACGCTTGCTTTTATCATTTTAATGAAGTCCCACAGGCGTTAAGGCAATAAATGCACAATGCACGTGACAGAAGCTGCAGACTGCACAAACAAGTTCAACATGTATTCAAATGTTTCCTATTGTCTTTTGCTCAAGAAACATCGAGTTCCATTCAAATTAGCTTTAACTCCTGCAGACAGGAATTAAAATGCAATCATTCTAACTGCTGGAAAGCAAAAGCACAAATTAACATTTAAGAGTAGTAACTGTGGAAAAGATGAGCAGCTATTTTTTAATGGAAACTGGCCTGTGTTTGATATAGCACCCTCTAAAGTTTTACAACCCCCCTAGGAACTTTACAACACAGCTAGCCATTCACCCACACATACACACTTTTACACACTGGTGATGATGAGCTACATTGTAGTCACAGCTGCTCTGTGGCGCACCGACAGTGACTCCAATAGTCTCTCTGACCAGCGTGCAGGGTGAGTTAGGTGTCTGGTCAAAGACGCCACAACCGCCACAGATGGAGCTTGAGTCTGCAACGCTCATGAGGTGAGCACTTAACTCACACATGTATGTGGAGCCAAACAAGCTCAGCATTTTCTTAGCAAATGTCTGAACTGCTTGGAATCTACCTTCATCCAGCTGGCGGTAGAAGTTGACAAGAGGGAGCTGTTGGTGCCAACTGCGATGCTCAGCGTCACTGCAGCTCAATGAGCTCCAGCTGCAGGTGGTCTGGAGCGTCATCAGGGTCCACGGAGAAAGGAGAGGAAAAAAGCGTGATCTCCTTTTCAATAGCTGCAAAGTCCCGAAAGCGCTGCTGAAATTCCTCAACCAGAGATGAGATGTCTGCTGCGTACTTTGTCATTTGCGCACTGATATTGTTCTGTGGGAAACTGGTCATAATTTCCTGCAGCGATGAGAAAAGTGCGGTATTGGGCTGCGCCTGTGACAGGTGCCTTTGGAAAAATAGCAGCTTGGTCCGAAAGGCTTTGATGTGCGAATACAGTTGGCTTACCACTGCATTTTGCCCTTAAAGGCTTGTGTTCAGCGCATTCAGATGTCGTGTTATGTCAACTAAAAATCCCAAATCAGCCAGCCACACAGGATCATTTAATTGCGGCATGGGTTGTCCCTTTTTTGTCAAGAATTGTCCAATTTCCTCCCTGAGAGAGAAGAAGCGCTGCAGTGCAGACCCCCGACTGAGCCATCTTACGTCATTGTGATACAAAACATCTCCGTATTCAGCCTGGATGTCGAGAAGAAACTGTTGAAACTGACGGTGGCACAGCGCTTCGGAGCGAATATAATTAATAGCCTTTAAGGAGATTTTCTAATCGCAAAGGCTGCAATTTGGCAGCAAGTGGTTAGCGCAATGCTAATATACGTGGAAAAACCCATAGGAATGCTAATGCTAATATCACCGATTACATTCTTACAAATTATGAATTAGAAACGTGCCAAATGATTACATTTGGAGTCTAATAGAAAGTAAAACTACCATCAATCAAATAAGTACAGACAGGTATTTTAGTAAAGCCAGAAAACTTTTAACTCCAGAGTTTTGGCTAGCAGCAATGAGCGTAACTGAACTACGCATGGACAAGACGTCAAAAACTAAACACAAAATACTTCGATAAACGGTACACACTTCTTTCCTGCAAATACAATTTCACAGGTGTTGCTAATACCTACGATCCTTCAAGGGATGTGCTCAAAGAGGAGTTCAACATTATGAATACAATATAGTGTTTTATTTTACAAATACATTATAAACACAAACTTACGTCTTAAGGAACATTATTTTAATAACAACACTGCTAAATTCTTCCCAACAGTATAGATGTGTAGTGTATTTTGTCCGAGTGGGTTTGCCGTAGTTTGACGTCATCGGCAGTCGACGGACCCCGAGCCGATCTTGCACCCGAGCAGATCTTGTACCGACACATGGCAGCCAGGGTGCGGCCACAGCGCTACTGCCAGGCTAGCACTTCTGCTTTTCTAATTTTTGTTTTTGAAGTAATGGTGAAACCTTTCGCCAGTGGTGAGCTACGTCTTTATTCACAAACATGTGAACACCTTTACACTGATGGGTGAACATACAGAAATATCTAGCAGAAGTAGCAAAGACAACCGTGTGCATCCTCAAAACTTCTGCTCCATCTGAGGATGAATTCAGCAGCAGAGTTTAAAATCTCCAGTAAATTTTATTCCACACAGATTTTTATCCCAAATTGAAGTAGCTGGTTGATTCTTATGGCGCGGTATGGGGGCCAAAATTAAGCAGCAGGAGGCTATATAAATTCCGAAGCAAACTACTGATCTGATTAATGATAAGCTGGCACTGGTAACTGAGAGGCTGGCGCTGGTAACTGAGAAATAGCACCTTTACTGGTGCTACTACTAGATACGCTAGGGACTAGCAGCCCTCGGCTGGTCATTGACTGCTTCAGACACTCCCTTTGCTGTCTATTAGCATGGATAGGCTAGCGTTAGCCTGGACAGGCTGGTGTTAGCATTGGAGAAGCTAGCCATTAGCGTGTCTAGGCTGGCCACTAGCTGGATTTCCTACCCCCTTGACGGACCATTAGCATGGATAGGCTGGAGGTAGCATCGGAGAGGCTAGCCATTAGCGTGCCTAGGCTGGCCACTAGCTGACTAGTGACTCTCTGAGAATTTATATAGCCTCCTGCTGCTGGGCAGTAGTCTTAATTTTGGCCCCCATACCACGCCATACCACGCCATAGATTCTTACATATACCCCTTAGGATTACCAAGGAAAAAAAGGCAATGATTTTCCTCAAATATTCATAGAACCTAATTATCCTAAAATGAAAATTGTACTTTTGCTAAAAATGTCCATCCCTGGTTTATAGCCCAAAGCATAGCAGCTTTATTATAAAAACATTAAAGATGTTGAATTATTCTCAGCTTCAGAATCAACTGTGGCTCCATCAGCTTTTTACAGAAAGCATCTATTTCCCATTGAATGAAAAAGTTTCGCATGATTATAAATTTTAAAACTAACCTACATTTTAAACCACCCAGAAATGACACATAATAGAATTTTACAAGCCATTGATTTAGATCTAACCTTTTACCAGCCCAATACTGTTTGTTGCACGTTGTGGTTTAATGGTGAATGCTGACCTTTTTATAATGAGAAGTAAATAATAAAACATACAGGAGAAACCGGACGCCAACTCAACACACGAACAATAGAACATAGAAAGGAGTGCGAGAAAGAGGTAAGTTGAAAACACGCAACAGAAGCAAAACAAGAAGCAGAAAGCACAATAAAGAAGTCAGCCGTAACAAGAGAAAACCATGTAATGGACTGGGACAACACAAGGATCATAAACACCGAACAACAGAAATACAAACAACGGATAAAATAAGCTATTCAGATAAGGAGACGTGGATGTGAGACCATGAACAGGGACGATGGAGTTTACTCGTTGGATCGCGCATGGGACTGCATCGTCGAAGAGGGGAGAGCGGGCAGCAGAGGGCGACAACGTACTCTGCTGCCCGCGGATAAACGAAGGAAGTGATTGGCACCATCGGCACCATCGACACCATCGGCGTCAGCCTCATGATGTTTGCAGCCGCAAACGAAACGTTGCAGGTAAATAAACCTTTTCTGTGTTTTCAAAAAACTGAAAGATGGAATTTGAAACTCAACACAGCAAGAATACACCAAAGATGAATAAAAAAAAAACAATTATGTCACAAGGTCTGCATTTTCATTGTGATGCTAGGAAAACTAGCCTATTGGATGTGCCATTTTGGGAATGTCCTAAATCACGAATTGGAATTGTTCTAAGATTTAATTCGGCTCAGACGAAG